ACACACAAACGTAACAACTACCTTGGCAGTAGTTTTAACATGCTAATCTAAGATAAACTTTTAGTTCACACACACACACACACGCACGCACACACACACAAATATCAATTCTATGAGATAATCCTTGAAAATAAAATTTAAAATGCCAATTAAAATATTATTTCAAATGCTGTAGAGAAGTTACTTAATTAAGTTTTATTTAATTGTAAAGAACACCCATATCGCAAAAGTTTTATTACCATAAACATTTTTAATAACTTTACCTTTCCAACAAAATCTGAACAATTAAAGATTGCCATTAAGATCACTGGCATCCAGGAACCCAGGTGACAGCTGACTATTTCACTCTCGATCCCAGGAAACAGACATAGTGTCACGAAGTAAGCCATTGCAATACTAAGCATAAAAGGCCATACAGTTCTGGCAACTTGCCAACGTGCAATAACACCCCCTGGAATATATATATAAAGATTGGAATGGAATTGTATTATATTATTTAATTATAAAATAAAACGTTATGTGCACACACGTTTTGTACCTTAAAAGGAGGCTTAGTGGGTTGAATATGATTTTTTTAAAATAATTAAATTGATTATAATATTTTACCACTAACTTTAATATATCATTATAAGAAAAATATAAAAATCAATGAATAATTATAGAGTGATTAATGATTTGTCCATATATGTTTACCTTCAATCATAAAAAAAAAACAATAACTTGAGCCCTTTTGGTAAGGGGATTTTCCATCATCAAAGGTAAATAATGAGGGAAAGTCCACATTTCAAAAGCATTCGGGTTATTGGGTTTCTTTTCTGATGTTAATTTTTTTGCTGTTAATCCCACGTGCTTTGGAATATTAAGAGTGCTTACTTTTAATTCCACCCCACATCTGAATGTGCTTTGTATATGCAGTTCCCCGCATTTTGACCACGACGTCATGTACTCTGTAGGTCGTTACACCAGTTGGTGGTAATGGGGACAGAGCATCAGGATCATCAGGCGTTCTGTAGACGTCATTGTCGTCGCTGACATCATAACCTTGATCCAACATTTCTGTCGACTGGAATGCCGAATCAGGAGTTGGAGACGGAGGAGGCGATCGAAGAGACAGAACACCATATTTCCCGCTTTTAGACTCATTAGGATCCAGCATGTCCACCTAGTGAGTTATATATGAAACACATTTTACCAGTTTACGTAAATGTTGTAACTTTCTAAAGGTAGAGCTTCGTCAAATATTAAATTTAAGCGTTTCAATAATTTTGTAGAAAGATTTGAAACTGAACAGACCCAGCTGTTGTTTACGGGGGGGGGGGGGGGAA